GCTAATACGTCTGGGAAAGAAGCAAAGATGCCCCCAGATGTCTGTCCCCGTCACCCACACTGGAGACTCGGATGGTGTTCCAGGCTCCCGGCTTTGCTCCAGCCCTGACCACTGCAGTCATTTTCAGAGTAAACCAGCAGATGAGAGAAAGCTCGCTCTCTCTCTCTCACTTTTTTCTGTCTCCTCTTCTCTCTCTCTCTCCAGAGCTTTGCCTCTCAAGCAAGTAAATTTTTCCTACCACCAAAAATGTTATGTTTGAAACTAAGAGCTACTTAATAAACGACGACCTGGAATTAAATAAAACAAAGTCTTTGCCATCAAGATTTCATGTCACGCTTGAAATATTCTCAAAAGAAACACTTTTAAATGAGGTTGTGCAAACATGAAAAATATACAAGTTTGAGACCAGGTCAATAAAAATGTATACAATTACTTGGAGAATCATAAATTTTAAGAAAACTTTCAAGTGAATACATGGTGACAGAACCAAAAAGATGCTATTAGCACAACATAACAATGTGCCTCACAGACAAATTTTGCCTCTCGCAATTAAGCAAGAAAGGCACAAGTCCCGATTCTTGTCTTCCCATAAATTCCACTAGACAGTGGCTGTAAAACCGGAGAAAGGCAGACCCCATTCTAAATTCTTGCACTGCGTTGATCAGAGCAATTTGTTTGCGAAGATGGAAGGCCGTGGGAGCACGTCAGTAACGCCCTCCACCAGTGCTTGTGGAAGCCAAGGCCGAGAGATCGACCCATCGCTAATTAAGTGAAGGAAACATGGCAACAGCGGCTTCCACGTCACTCTAGCTCTTTCCACTGCCTCACACTGCTCTACGCAGGTTTATGACACATGCTATTTTGTTTTATTTTGTTTACACATAAGTGTCTTCTTGATTAATTCTATCAGTCTGTAGTGACATTCAGACTTCATTTAAATGTTAAAAAACAGTTTCCACAACATCTGGATTATTTTTCTCCTTTCCTTTCTCACCAACCCAAATAGAACAGGTTCCAGGAGTGTGGATCAAAGACTCCGGGTGCTAACACTAACACCACACCACATAGCAAGCCGTTACCCAGCAATCACTTCATCCATGTCTTTCAAAACACTACCATTCCTTCACTAGTTCCTAATGGTGCTGTTTTATAGTAACAAGAGGGGTAGCTGAGGACAACTAACAGGTAACTTACCAACTGCTGTTCCACTCCCCAGATGGCTGCAAAGGCTAGCCCAGGCCCAGCCAAAGCCAGAAACGTCATCGAGGATCTCCCCATGGACAAAAGCAGCCCCAAAACTCGGGCCATCATCTGTTGCTTTTCCCAAGCCATCAGCAAGGAGTTGGCTTGGAAACAGAGCAACTGAGACATAAACCAGAGCTAATATGGGATGTCAGCACCACAGTTACAGGCGGCAGCTTTACCCGCTACACAGCAACACCCTCGGGGATAGCAACTCTTTAAGAAACAGATTTCTCTTGGAATTACAGGATTTAGAAGCACAACACATCTAACTGAAAGATCATAGTTAGGCCCACAGACGAGACCTGTGTGTTCTACAAATACCGTATAAGAGCACATACCTATTAATAAAATCTTCAAAACATAATATTCTTCAATGAAGACTTACCATGTGTTAGGGACTGTTCTAAAATCTTTCTGCACATCCCTAATCTCCAGAGAGCCCCAAGAGGCAGGTGAGATATGGGGGAGCCCGGCTGCTCTGTCTGCGATCCAGCTCCGCACCACTGTGAGACAAGCAGCACAAGACGGGCTAAGTACCTGAGGCCCTGGCAGCCACGCGTGGGACCTGGAGGAGGGCTCCTGCTTCAGTCCCAAGCACTGCGGCTACTTGGGGAGTGAACCAGCTGATTCAAAATCTCTCTCTCAAAAAAAAGAAAAAGTCCTCTGTTACGGGGAGCCAGCGCAGGGCAGGCAGCAGGGCAGGCAGCAGGGCAGGGCGGACGCGCAGAGCGCTCTGACGGCAGTGAGAACATTCTGAGTGGTAACGGTGGATACTTGTCATTGCACATTTGTCCAAAACTATGAAATGCACACATCAGGAGTGAGCTTTAATGTGAGCCGTGGAATTTGGCAGGGAGCGGTGCGTCAGTACAGTCTCTTGAGCAATGATAAAGGAACCACACTGGTAGGGACACTAACCGTCAGGGCCTATGCATGTGGGGGGACAGGAATATATGGGAATCTCCGGACTTTACTCTCAGTTTTTTCACAACACTGAACCTGAAAAAAAAAAAGCTTAAAAATAAATAAAGCTTATAAGGATACCTTCACACAAGAGCAAACTGATATGCACGCAAAGGCACTCAACATTCATGCAGTGGGGCCTGGTGGCGTGGCCTAGCAGCTAAAGTCCTCGCCTTGAATGCCCCGGGATCCCATATGGGCACCGGTTCTAATCCCGGCAGCTGCACTTCCCATCCAGCTCCCTGTTTGTGGCCTGGGAAAGCAGTCGAGGACGGCCCAAAGCCTTGGTATCCTGCACCCGCATGGGAGACCTGGAAGAGGATCCTGGTTCCCAGCTTCTGATTGGCGCAGCACTGGCCGTTGAGGTCACTTGGGGAGTGAATCATCGGATGGAAGATCTTCCTCTCTGTCTCTCCTCCTCTCTGTATATCTGACTTTGTAATACAAATAAATAAATCTTTAAAAAAAAAAATTCATGCAGTGGACTACCACACAGCTTGAAGAATATGACAGCCTTATATGTACTGATATACATACTGTAAAATGAAAAACGCAAGGCACAGAAAATACAACAGCATGTCACCAGATACATAACTTACACGATGCACACACACACATCAATGTATCTACAAGCTTGAAACCGCTCATCTATACATGAACTTCCCATGAAACAAAGGGCCAGTGTGGTGGGTGCCCTCGTGTAAGCCACTGTTAGGGATTAGCACCACATACTGGAGTCCTGCCTCAAGCCCGGCTGCTCTGCTTCCTGGCCAGCTTCAGTTAATGCGCCTGGGAAGGCAGCAGAAAACGGCCCAAACACTTGGGCCCCGCCAACCCTATGGGAAACCAGGACAGAGCTCCTGACTCTACCCTTTAGCTGGGTCAAGTCTTTCTGTTACAATTATTTAGAGAGTGACAGAGGATTAAAGATGTATCTATGTCTCTCCCAATTTCTGTGGCTCAGCCATCCAAAATAAATAAATAAACCTGAAATTAAAAAAAGAAAAAAAAAACATAAAAAAGTTATAAGGGGGCCTGGTGTGATAGCCTACTAGCTGAAATCCTTGCCTTGCATCCACTGAGATCCCATATAGGCACCAATTCATATCCTGGCTACTCTACTTCCCACCCAACTCCTGCATGGGGCCTGGAGGGCAATGGAGGATGGCCTGAGGCCTTGGGACCCTGCACCTGCATGGGAGACCTGGCTCCTGGCTTCAGATCAGCTTGGCTGCAACCATTGCAACCACTTGGGGAGTGAACCAACAGATGGAGAATCTTCCTCTCTGTCTCTTCTTCTCTGCTTATCTGCCTATCCAATAACTAAAAAAAAAAAAAAAAAAAAGGAATATTTTTAAAACAGTTTTAAGGAGAAGATATGTGTGTTGGCTGGGGTCAAGGGTAAGCTAAAACCCAGGGACTGTGCTCTACAGAAGGCAGGCAAACTAGAGAAAATCCTTGCAACAACAGGTTAATGGTTTCAGACACCATGCAAACTCAAGAGCAACGGGTTTCTCAACAGCAACACGACTGACATTTGAGGCTAGATCATTCTTCACTGTGGTGGCTGTGCCGTGTGTTAGAAGATGTTCAGCAGCATAACTGACCACTAATCACAAGATGCCGGGGGCCGGCCAGCCACACTGGTTATGGTGACCAACAGTGTCGTGAGACATTGCCAAAACACCCACTCAGGCAGTATCACTGTGCTTACAGTCTCGGTGATAACAGTTCAAAACATAAGACATTCTGGCAACAATTTCTCATAATTGAACAACAAGTATAATGTCCATTACAACATGGAGCTGGGGGATGGATGTGCTGGGCACGGCTGTCACAACAACCATAGATCCTCAAGGTAACTAGACTCCATCCCCAATGTCTCCTTTCTGTGTTTGCTGAACACAAACGACAAGAACTAAACGGAGAAGCCATTTGGATGGTCAGCACCAAGTGTGCCAGACACTCCAGTGGGCTTCTCAATGTGGCATTGACCCTGTGAGATCTCTGTGGCTTAATTCATCAATCAGTGACCAACTCTTCATGCTCCAGCCCTCCCCGTAGTAGCATGTGCTTTTTCTATTGGGATCTTCTGGGATGCCAAGGAAGGCAGCCCTCCCACAAACATTAACAGAAAATCACAATTTTGGCTCAACTTCTGAAAAACCAATATAATTTGTTGACACAATGAGAACATAATTCCTTGCATTATGCTAATAATGTTTCTTCTCATAATTTCTGATGATCATACCAAGTTTAAGCCACTGCTGAAAAATCATAAAAGACAGCAGCCTTGCTTTCAAAGACAGCATAAAGGGAGGGGTTAGCTATAAAGTCAAGAGAGATCCTAACTAGATTCAGCAAGTCACAATTTTATTAAGCATCATGCCATTTCTGATAGCAAAATGAACAGGGAGGAGAGAAAAAAAAAAGTCAAGACATCCGACAGGCTTGAATATTTTTCAAACATATAACTAAAACTTTTGTTGGTTTTCCTGTCTTTTCCTTTTGTTGTCTTTTCCTTTTCCAAAACCAGAAATCCAATAATACTATGGCAATCTTGGTTTCACATTTTGACGTCACTGAATCCTTCAATACTGTTGCAGTGGAAAAGTTCTGGATTTCATTCTCAAGAAAGCATGCTCTTCAAACTCTAGCATTGTGCCGACTACATTCACTTAGCTCTCAGAAAGTCGGCTCCCATTTGTGGAGGTGACCTCTCTCTGTAACAATGCACCTGTGAGTCGCTATGGAAGACGCTTAAGAGTGTCCGCGGCGAAAAAGAAACTCACCATTCTAACTACTTCAGGGTAAGTCTGCTCTGTCAAACAGCCTCTGCTTATTGTAATGTAGTCCACCAGTTCATTAAGAGTGGAGCGCTTGTATTCTTTCATTTTAAGATCAGATAGCGTGTCCATGAAGTCAAAAATGACACAGCACTGTTGAAGTTTCTTTAGGAACAGTTCAGGCTGCTCTGAGGATGGAACGTCTAAGAAAAAAAAAGGAAATGGTGTAAGTCTGTCATCAATTTTTCGGTAACAGGATTACTCTGTGAACGTTACTTCAAAAGCAAGCTCAAAAAAAATCAGAATTCACATGACAACAGTGTTTTTGTTAGCAGTTATACACGGGTGGGAGGGGTACCATATCCATGACTTCAGAGAGAACTACGTTATACAACACCACAGCCTGGGTTTACTACTCCACAACCACAAATTGCCCCAAGTCCCATCAGCCATTAGACTAGTAGAAGCAAATTTTAACCAGAAAGAGACCAATGTCAACACCCTTAAATCCAGAACACTTAAAAAGGGCAAGCTTTCCCTTATAAGGTGAAGCCAGAAGCTTTCAGGGTTGCTCTAAATCAGTTTTTACTAAAATATTTCAAAGCAGAAATGTCAGTTGATTCATTTTAATTTCATGCTGACATCTTTGGTATTTAAGGCAGTTGTTGTGTGTTTATATTTTTGCTTTGTTTGGTCTGATCTCTATGAAGTTTCTTTGTCAAAGAAACTTTTTAAATCAACACAATGAAATAATATCACTCTTCTAAAGAGAATATATCCGCTTAAACTTAAGCTGTCTTGAGACCCATCTTCTTCCTTCGTGGTGGCAGAAAACCACTCAGAATAGATACCTGTACTTTTACCCACAAATAACAGGTCAAAATGTGGTTTGGAGTCATTGTCTTAAAAAACACCGAGAAACTTTAGGTTAGTTAAACATCTCCAGCTAACAAGGAAAGCGATCTGTAGTGAAATCTGAAATACACAAACTAAGCTGCACACAGCCCACTGCCCTCCTCCCTTCTTTCCCCTATTTTATTCCCAAACCAGAGCTTTTCCTGGAGAGACCATGAAAAGCATGACCACAGAAGCTCTGGCTTCATCTAAGGTGATGAACTCATTAATCCTCAGAACACCCTCCTAGAGCAAGCAGGTGCCACTATTCTCCTGTTTGAAAAAAAAAAAAAAAAAAAACAGAGACAATAATCGATGGCCCACAATGAATGAGTTATGGGGCTGGGCACAGAGCCCAGGTCTAACCATACTGCTACATCCCCTCTGTTCTACCCAAGAAGGACTTTAAAGCATTCGGCCAGTCACTTGCATTGCCAGTCTTCTAGTAAACACTTTACAGCCATGTCATAGTGGCCACATGCTCCTTGGTGGGCAACAGCCCACACAGCACCCACCTGCCAGCCACCAGCAGTCCTAGCAGAAGAGTGTCAGGGCCAGCCTTGTATCCAGAGCATCTGCTCTCCATGCACCCCTTCCCCTCCTTACACCAATGACCCCCCCACCAAATAATGTCAAGGCGAGTCTAGATGGGACACCTGAAAATAGGATTTCTACACCAGATATTAGGAAATAAGACATAACATTTTTAAAGATATTCCAACATTTTTGATACTGTAATCAAAAACAAATTCCATATTTAGAAATTACTAACCAGCCTACTAAATGTCACAAACAGTTCAGAATTTAGTATCAAGTGTGACATATACCTTATCTCAAATACCTAAATTTAATCCACTTTCAGGCACATAGCTTTAGACTACATGAACTAAACTTAATCAGACCAGGCTTCCTCTTTGGATGCTACTTGCTTTGGGTCCTTAAAACAGCAAACAAAACCTAAACAATGCTGCTGTGAACATGACAGTTCTTAGGTATGTCTAACACAAACACTGGACCATCACAGCTATCACTGAGACCCTCTGGGCTCTGAGTCAGATCCCACACCTTGAAGGCTCAATGAGCTTGTGATGCTGCAAAGAAACAAAAAAAGTGTTAAGGTAATATTAGTTCAAGGTTAAAAGCTTCAAAGTTTTGATGCAGTAATTTTTACTAAGCCAAAAAAAGTCACCTACATAATGGATTCCTTCTTAACTCAGCATACATTAATTATGAAGACAATCTATAGAATGATAGCCTTTTCTCTGAAAATGTCCATGGTCACCGTAATAATACTCAAGAGATTCGTATATATTAAGATACCCAAGCAGTTAGCATTTAGATCGTTATTTTAATGTTAGGCACTTACAATTTACTTGTTACCTGTGTTAACCATTGTCACAAACAGCAGGCTATCCAGCAGCCAGACAGAGTGACGTAAGCACTTACATTTACTGACCACACTAGGTATAGTCATTAGGAACTATCAGCAGCATTTACATAGATCCACATCCACTTAACTCCTATGAAAAACCCTCTGCCGTAGATACTATTTCCATCTTAATAGTGAGATAAAACAAGATACAGAGAGGTCAAGTTCCTTGCCCACAGTCACACAGCTAATAAGCAGTGAAGACAAGAGTCAAACCCAAGCAGGTTGGCTCTGCCGCCTGGACTGGGCCCATCCAAGTCACAGCTACACAGTGAATGGTGCAAGCAGTGCTGCTCTCCAGGGAGCAGAGCAAGCAGAGAGCAGCGAGAAACGAGCAAACCCACAGGACTGCACATCCACAAAGCACCATGCAGAACCTTCCAGAGTCACACTGACAGCAAAAGTCCATGCTTTACTCTTTTAGTTCAGACCATACTCTTCTAAAAATGACCTCCCTCCACTAAGCTGGGAAAAGCAGTCAAGACTGACGGAAAGGAAGGGAAAGGGAAAGGGAAAGGGAAAGGGAAAGGGAAAGGGAAAGGGAAAGGGAAAGGGAAAGGGAAAGGGAAAGGGGAAGGGGAAGGGGAAGGGAAAGGGGAAGGGGAAGGGAAAGGGAAAGGGAAAGGGAAAGGGAAAGGGAAAGGGAAAGGGAAAGGGAAAGGGAAAGGGAAAGGGAAAGGGAAAGGGAAAGGGAAAGGGGAAGAGAAGAGAAGAGAAGAGAAGAGAAAAGAAGAGAAGAGGAGAAAAAGAAAAAGATGGTATTCCATTTAAGAAGCAATTTCTCTACAGGAACAATTTATTAAATAAAGTTTATTCATGCTCAAGGAAGACCTAACCATGAACTCTCAGGCGTCTGACCCCTGGACTGCTGTACTCTGCCATGCTGTTGCCAACTTCCTTGGCTGTGGACCCCAGGTCCCAGTGAATTGTGGAAAGATAAAACACAAGAAGGTAGGATGACCCAGGGACCAGAGAAGGAACACTGTCTGAGCAGACCAGAAATTTTCAACAATATAAGAACAGTTTGGTATCTATGGACCCAGTCCCAGGGACAAACACAAAAATTATGTTTAAAGTAACAGTGGTAACAGGATCAGGTACCAGGCTACAAAGCAAGTCCACAAATGACAACACACAGACATCACACAGGCAGGTGGGTGCATTTGGACCACAGGGTAGTAATGCCAGATTTAAATAATTCAAATTTACCCACCTCCCAAATCAGTCACTGGAAACCTGAATAATTCTGAAGTAAACCTTCAATCTATAGAAATACTAAAATTATAAACATTTAGGAATAAAAGTAAATTAGGAAAGCTGGCAGGTATGTTCGAATCCAAACCAGGGCAGGCAGTGGCTGTTGCTGTCCCATATCTTTCAAACTTGCGGCCTGCGTGAGGCAGCTCTGCTGTGGGGAGAGGAGCCACACAGATCATAACCAGAAATGATGAGGAATCAATATGCGCTGATGCGACCCTGGGAAGGTCGTCAGCAGGACTCACGCATCTGGCGTGAAAGCGTACTCCAAGTGGAGAACAACTGATTCAGTTCCCACACTGGGTAAAATGCCACGGTTCTGGAAGACCCCTCCAAAGCCCCTTCCAGAATGCTTCCACACCAACAAAACCAACGCCGTGCCCAGCTCAGCCACACGGCACTGCCCGCCCTCTGCTCCAACGGATCACCGTCAGCACACCAGGGAAATGACTAACCCCACACGGGGGTCCGCACTCAAATAACCTCTACATTAGTTAAGTGTGAATCGTAATGGAAAAACGGACACAGAATTCAATGGCAGAAAAAGGGTAGAAACCCAGGATCTACACACATGGTAGCTGCTGTCCCTCTCCCAGGCCTCCAAATCAGTGAGTATACCTCTCTCTCTCTCTCTCTCTCTCTCTCTCTCTCTCTCTCTCTCTCTCTCTCTCACACACACACACACACACACACACACACTTCTCCTCACCTTCAATAATACGCTTCCAAAAGCTGGTTGTTCGTTATTTCTTCATAATTTACACTCTTCCCTACTCATAGATTCCATTATTCTATCTAACGTTTGGAGGATAGGACTAATTGTGGAGTCCCTCATTCCTCATACAAAGAACACAAAATAGAAAAAAATGAGACACAAACAACCCATACCTAAGAGCTGAGGAAATCAAAATTTCAAATTTTACAAGAAAAACAAAATCCATTTTAGAGCATTTATATCCTAGGGTAAATAAAAACAGTGCTGTTCAGCATAAAACAAGAAACCTGCGTGATCCTATTTGCAAACAGGAATGTATAGTTGCGAGCCTATGACTTCAAAATTGAAACTTGGAACATGACATTAAGATGTTCAAAAGGACAAAGAAGGTTTCTGAAAAGAGAAAAACATTTTAAAACACTGAACAGTGACATTAATACTAATTTCAACTAAGACACTCATAAATCCCTTCTTTTAAAAAAAAATATTTATTTGCATTTGAAAGGAAGATTTACAAAGAAGAAAGACAGATAGAAGGTCTTCCATCCACTGGTTCACTTTCAAATGGTCATCAAGGTCATAGCAGAGCAGATCTAAAGCCAGAAGCCAGGAGCTCTGCATGTGGGAACAAGGGTCCCAAGGACTTGATCCATCCTTCACTGCTTTTCCAGGATATAGCACAGAACAGGAATAGGAAGTGGAATAGCCAGGACACAAACCAGTACCCATTTGGGATGCTGGCCCTTGCAGGCAGAGGATTAGCCTGTTGAGCCACAGTGCCGGGCCCAATTTAAATCTCTTCTTTGTAGTTAGTTTCCTAGCTGCACCTGTTTCTCAAGATAGGCATTCCCTGGAATCTAAAGATTTGCATGCTAATGACACAATTCCAGACACCCTATGAATCCTGA